GGGGACATAGGGAGGGCTGTGCAACACAGAGAAGACAAGTAGTGATTCTACAGCATCTTACTATGCTGATGGACAGTAAGGGGGTATGTGGAGGGTACGTGATGAAGGGGGGAGTCTAGTAAACATACTGTTCTTCATGTAATTATAGATTGATAACAAAATGAAAAAACTCACTTTAAAAATTAAGAACTAGTTTATCTATTTAAATGGTTCTCTCTCTATCTCACTTTTTCTAATTCCATGTGAGTGTATGGATGGTAAGTTTTCTTAACCTCTATAGGAATATGGCTCTGTGCAGGCTAGAGGCACCTGGACTTTATTACTAGACAGAATTGCTGAAGACAGTAGTGAGGTGGGAGTGGAGGTTTTGCTGGGGTGTGTGTGTGTGTTCACACTTCTGGCTCATGTTCCAAGCTCTAGGTGATGAAGCTCTTGTGTGTGATTCCTCCCCTGTCACTCTCCCCACTGCTCCCAGAACATGTGGAAAAACCCATCTCTGCCCATTATTAGAAATAAGGCCTTAGAAAAATCACCTGGCTTCTCTCTCCCAGACATGTCCTCACTCACACAAAAATCTATTTCACAGGCATGATGCAAAGACGTAGGGCGTCAGTGACGTCGGAGGAGCTTCATAAACAGGGATGTTCTGTACAATTTTTACGTTGCTATTGTGGTCTTTGTACTTATGAAGAATAAAAAGGTCACCCGAATGATTTTCTCTGTAACGCAAATACCCTGCCTGTGCTGCCCCCTGCTGGTTAAGGCTTTAAATTAATTTTAGTATGATAAGCTTAAGGAGAGCTGGGCATTGAAGACCTCGAGGTCTATACCCCTGCCCCTTGTCCCTGTGAAAGAAATCCCTGAGGCATCATTAGCCACACCGACAGCTAGTCAGAATCACGTAGGAAGTAGTGTTGCACAAGTGACTTAGTTTTTAGGGGCCTCGGTTTCCTTGTCTTTAAAATGGGTGGGCAGGAGAGTGAGTAGAGACCATTACTGTGTAGGGTCACTTCTACTGCTAACCTTGCAGGGTGAGGCTTGTCTGCCCTGGACCCCAGGTCGGCTGTGGGAGTCAAGCAGCAGGAGGCCGACGTTCTGGAAAGAGCGGTCTGCTGTCCCGGGTGAGGTCAGGGCCGGCAGCTTGGTGACCTCTGCCTGGGTCAGCAGGTCAGCAGCCCCGCCAACCCCTGGAGCTGCTGCTGCCAGTTCCTGGGCTGACCCTTGTCGGCGAGAGCACGGTGGGCATTCCCCGTAGGGGAAGTCTGCAGAACACATGGCCAGTGGCGTGGTGACCTGCACTTTCTGACGGCTGCGGGGCCACCCCGACGCAGAGTGGGTTCATCTTCCCGGCAGGGCGACAGGCACTAACCGGGGGTGAGGACCGGAGGTCTGGAGTCACACGGCCAGGGCTTGAACCCGGACTCTGCTGCGCCCGTCAGTGGGGTGGGCCGGGGCAGGTCACTCAGGCTCCTGGTTTCCTTATCTTCAAGTAGGTGGGCTGAAGATTCAGTGTGGACTATTCACGTGTTCACATAATAAGAATTTAGTAAACATGTATGGTGATGGTTATTATTAATGTCCACAACAAATACAGAAATCAACAGGTGATGAATGAACTGCAGGTTAAGAGACTTACATTTCTGCCCGGGGCCCCCCACCCCCGCAGTGCCAGTTCCCCTGAACTCGTCACCAGTGCCCAAAGGTGGGGAGCCACCCTTCGTGCCTCCTCCTCTCACACCCTCCCTCTCGTCAGTCAGATAATTCTGCCTCTGCCTTCAGAAGAAACCAGAATCTCGCCAGACTCGTTACGTCCCCTGCCACCCACCACCCTGGGGCAAGCTACACTCCTGCTCGGACCACTGCAATAGCCGCCTACTCCTGTGATTCTTCGGTCCCATAAATCACACCATTCTTCTGCTCAACACCCTGCAATCACTGCCATTCACTCAGAGCGAAAGCCGACATCCTTACCAGGGTCCGGTGAGCTCGGCACATTCGGCCCCGCCCCCGCCCCCTTCTCTCCCTCGGCCTGGGCCCGGGACGCTGCCCGGTTTCCAGGAACTCAGCTGCTGGGCGGGGCGGGGGTGGGAGGATGGCGACCCGGGCCCTCCAGCCCCTGCCCACCTGCGGCCCCGCCTGGGTCAGGCCCCGTCCCGCTGTCAGGGACCCTGCTCCCGCCATCAGCCCTGTCTGCCACCGGCTCCTGCGGGGCCGCTTCTCGGGCTCTGCCCAGTCTGTGCACAGCTCCTCCTTTGGGCCCCGCTGCGCCAACGAAGGAGCCCCCGCTCCCTGCCCCTTCCTCGCCCTGCTCTGGTCACGGTCTCCCGGTCCCCCCCCTGCTTCGCCGGGCCCACTGCGGCCCAGGCCTTCCCCGGAGGACTCCCCCCGGACGCCGGGACCGCCGGCCCCTCAACGGCTCGGCTCTCACCCTCTCGGGCGACTCCTCTCTGCCCCTCAGAGAACGGCCGCCCTCCGCTCCGGGAGCCCCGCTCCCCCTCCTGCTTCTCCCCGACGCTCCCACCGGCCAACACAGCGCGTCGGTCACTTACCCGTCCGTTTCCGGTCTTCCTTCCTCCACCAGCCCGGGGGCCGCAGGAGGGAGGGCCTCCCTGCTCTTCTCCGCGGAGCCTCGCGGCCTACAGCGCCGCCTAGAGGTCGTGGGCGGTCGCACAGAGTAGTTCGTCGAATGTGATTGGGTAAGTGACATGCTGTCCTTCCCTCTGGTCGCGTCTGCGTTTGTTTCCCAGCGCTGCCCTAACAGAGTCCTACAAACTGGGTAGCTTAAAACCACGGAAATATATCGCCTCATAATTCTGGAGGCTGGAAGGTGTCTGTATGGCTGCGCTCCCTCTGAAACCTACAGGGGGATCTTCCTCGCCGCTTGGCGTTCCCGGGCTTGGGGACACCTCGCTCTGCTCTCTCCCTTCGCTGGTACAGGGGCCTCTCCTTGCGTGGCTCTGTCTTTTCCCAGGGATCTTTTATTTGTTAGAGGTCACCGGTCATATTGGATCAGGGGCCTACTCCGCTCCCGCAAGAACTCAAATAACTATTCCTACAGCAATCCTATTCCCCAATAAAGTCACATTCCAAGGTACTGGGAGAATGCATTCAACATATCATATTCTGGGGGCCTCAATTTCACCCATAACATGGACTTTCAGTTTTTCCCCTTAATTATAGTACCCAAGGGCTTATTTTATAATCCCAACTAGACGGTACATTTTCCAAGAAGAAACCCTCGGTCTTAAATGGGAAGGGGCAAGCTGCCTGCTCCGGGACTGGATTTGGCTTGCAGGCGTGTTTGGAGGTCTGGAGCATTTGGCCCATACGGTGCTCTGAAAGACATTCTCAATCAGTTTGTGAAATTTTAAAAGTTTGGAAACTTTACCTGAAAATCTGGGTGCCTGTTTTCCAGAGTCAGAATGTCGGGTCGCACGCCAGAGGGATATCTTCACACCATGTACCTCTTTGCCTCTAGCCTGGCGGGGGCTTCTCCATAGGCTGGGCCGCACCTTCCTTGCATCACAGACACATCCTATTGGTTCTGTTCCTCTGGGGAGCCTTGGCTAATATAGTCTTCATTCAAAAATGCACCTGATACTGCCTAGGCCCTTCTCACCCCGCCAGTGCTATCACTCTGGTGTAGGCCATCATCCTCTCTCTGGGATGTTACAGTTGCTGCATACCTGGAATTCCAGCCACAGCCTATTTTCCACGGAGCAGCCAGGGTGTTCCTTTAAAAGCATAAGTCAATTATGTGAGCCCTCTGCTCAGTGTCGTCCATTGGCTCCCTTCTCGCTTGGAGTAAAAGCTGAATCCTTCAAGATCCTGCCTCTGCCACTTTCTCTGACTTTGTCTATATGCCCTGCCTCACCAGACTCCAGGCACACGTGCCTTTTCTTTAACATGCTTGGCCCAGCCTCAGAGCCTTTGCACCTGCTGCTCTCTGAAAGCTCTTTGTTTTGGCTAATTCATCTGAGCTGCCCACAGGCAGAATAGCACTGGTTTCTTTGCATTGCAAAAGAAGCGGTGACTTTAGCCAGAACAGATTTGCGAAAGTGTGCGTCTCCTTCAACGGCTTTGGGGTGTCTTCTAGGACAGATGGCTTTCCATTGGTGGGTCTCCATTATGTACAAGTTCCGATCTCTGTTGCTGCACTTAGGTAAGAATGGTGTGGAGGTGAGTCAAGGAGAAGTAAGTTCATGCATTTGTCATCTCGTGCAGGCTACACCATAGTTTCTCTTCACTGTCTGATTCTCAATACCTCCCAAAGTTTTGAATAGTTGCTCTCCAAAGAGATCCTTGCCCTTTTATCTGAGGCCCAAGAAAACATCCTATTTCATACTTAAGATGCTGTGCTTCACTGAGGTAAAAGGAACATGGAACACATTATGGGAAGTGGCTACTTTAAACGGATGTGCACAGAGATGACATCCTCCATGGTGGTGCTGTGATCACAGAGCCCCCTGCCCTCCCAGCCCCAGCCTCCCCTAAGGGGTCAACTAGCTCCAGAGAGCTCAGCAACAGATCACCAAATCCTTCCTCACCGGAGTCGTGGAAAGAGCCTGTATATCAGAAAAGTGAAGCTGCTGGGCTGTGCAGTCAGCTAGACCTGCCTCAGGTCCTAAACGTGAGATTCATACATGGTGGGGCTGTGGACAAGTTATACACCCCTCTTCACTAGTTCCTTACTTGCAGATAGAGATGAGAATGCCTACATTATGGGGCTGTTCGAAGGTTTAAATGAAGTAATGTGTAACGAGTGCCTGGTTAGTGGTAAATATTCAGTAACTTGGAGTTAAGATGAGTCAGCACTGAAACTCAAGCTGGACTTGAGGTGTGGCTGAGACTCCGACACCTGGGGCTGAGCTGCCCTGTGCGGGGGACACCACCGACCATTCCCAGGGCTCTCCTCCTCCGCCACAGTCTCCCCATGCTCCTCCCAGAAAATAAGGTTCACCTGGCCACCTCCCTCCTACAGGGCTTGTGAGGCTGACCTCAAGTCCAGACTGCGAGGAGGCCTCCAGGACGTGCCTTCCTTCAGCCTACACCTCCTCACCCTAGGGGCACCCAGTGCTGACCTTCGTCTGGGCATTCAGGAAATGGGCAGTAATGAGTGACCCTTGAGCTCGGCTGTCAGATTGGCCCTGTCTTTGTTGAACCTTGTTGGCATTCAGCCATGTTTTTCTGTTTTCTCTGGGAGATATCATGGGAAATTAAAAAAAAAAATTCAGCCACACTGTGTCAACTGCATTCCCCTGCTCCACTATTAAAAAAGCAGATGAGGTCTCTTTGCACAACTAGATTTTGTGCATACTTGCAGCCTTACCATACTTGGTCCCTATCCTCTCACCTGTTGGATGCAGGGCTCCGTCAGGCAATTGCCCAGATTCCTTCCCACCAAGACTCTGGAGCCAGACCTGGGGGTTTGCACATCACCAGCGAGGAGTCAGCTCACGGATGCGTCTGAGGCTGAGGTGCGAGGCCATGCCCACAGCTCCAGCTTCGCCCGAATAGCCAAGGGAGGTGTGTGCAGAGAGAGGCTGGGCGGAGCACTTTCCCAGGGGCAGGCCAGGGGGTGTGGGCCACAGCAGTCAGAGAGGGAGCAACAACAGCGGCCTTGATGCCCTGTGCCCTCCTTCCCCACCCAGGCCGCCCCCACAGGAACCAAACTGTGCATCTCAATCTAGAATTCAAGGAATGCGCCACAGCCTGAGAGGCAGGCAGTGACCTTCAGAGAGGCAGGGAGAAGCACTGCTTCCAGTCAGAGGCCTGCAGTGCAAGGACTGTGGTCCTGAGGGCCGGGCAGCCCCTCCCACCCCCCCTGGGCCTCCTGCGGCAGCCGGATATCAAAGGCTGCATTGTGCAGAGCAGGCCTTGGTCAGTCGTGTGCCAGGGAGGAGGCGGGAGGGAGGACGCATTGGGAGGCTGTCCCCTCCCAGGGCTCTTCTGGCTGGTGTTCCCAGGGGCCTCAGCCTGGGGAGGATGGTGCACACATGGGTGGCTGCTTCTGCATCCCGGGGGAGCCAAGTCTGTCCTGGGGCCCAGGTGAGTTGCCTGGGGCAGTGTGGGGGGAGGGCTCTGGCCTATGGCTTGGCCGACATGATTGGTTCAGGGACGGCTCAGGGGTCTGCTGGGTTGGGGAAGCTGCTCCTCCAAAGGCAGGGAGGTGTCTGTGCCTTCTGGCTCCCTGGCCCCCTCCTGTGCATCTGTTATTCTGGCTTGGTAGAAAGGGAGTGAAGCCTGGGAAGCATGGGCTTCTCCTGAAGAGAGAGGCTTTGAGCAGCTGTGGAAGGAGTGGTGCCCTTGGCTGCAGCTCCGAGGGTGTGACTACGCCCTTCCGCCCTTTCCTCCCAAGATCCCCTAGGCCAGGAAGAAGGCTCAGGCTGCGAGTTCCTCTGGGGCCCACGGTGGTCATAACCTTGGCCATAAACTAGTCACTCCACCCTATTTTCATCAGGGTTGCTATTACTGGAGAAAAACAGGCAGTTTCTTGCCTCCTACCTGTTATAGTGTGATTTTGCAGGGTGAAGGTGGGGGTGGGCTGTGTATCAAGTTGAGGCCACAGAGAGTTGTTGCTCTAAGAAATTCTTAAGTCATCTGAGACATAACATTGGGTAACCAACCATCCTGATTTGCCTGGAACGGTTTTCCCAGGATGCCGTCAGTGCCGAACCCAAGACAGTCCCAGGCAACCGGAGTGGGTGGTCACCCTGCTGCAAGCTCCTTGCTTCTTTCAGAGCAGGGCCAAGGGGAGGTCCTGTGGTCTTGCTATGGCACTTGTCAGGACGAATGGAGGCTTGTGGGAGGGGTTGGCGTGGTGGAGGACCTGCTTGGGAAATACGTGAGCATGACGCCAAGGAATCATCCCCAGCCCTCCTTAGGATCCTGCCTCTTCCTGGAGCACCCCCGTGATTCCTTGGGGGTGGAGACCAGGAGAACCCTCGCCAAGGCTTTCTACTCTTTGACAGATGACATCCTGCTATAGTCCTGTGACCTGGGCTGGATAATGTAGAAGGCCCCAGAGGTCCGTAAACCAAACCTGAGGCAGCCATGTTCTGCTTCGTCTGCTGGAAGCCCCAGTCTAGGCACCTTGCACCTTCACAGGGAGAGGTCCCCAGACTAAGGCCACCCTGAACTTGAAACTATAAGCAAACACCTCCCCTCCCCAGACACACACACAAATAATGCCCTTGACACAAAAGGCATGACCTACAGGTTTGAAATTATTTTGCTTCTCTAGATTTCTAAGATTTATAAACTTTCCAGACCCTCCCCCTAAATCTCCATGTACCCCGTGGGGACAGACCTTGCATGGAAGTGGGGGGATGTGAAAGTCTGTGAGTCAGGGACCTGGGCTCTGGATCTGGCAGTCTGCCTCCGGGTAGACCAGGCAGACATCATGGGTGAATGCCTTCGATGCCACAGTGTCTGGGTTCAAATTTGGTTCTTTGACTTGCCTGGAGCAATTTATTCAATCTTTGCATGCTTCAGTTTCCTCATCTGTGGATTTTTTTTAATCAAGGTATCACTGATACATAATCTTATGAAGGTTTCACAAGAGCAGCATTGTGGTTACTACATTCACCCATATTATCAAGTCCCCACCCTCACCACATTACAGTCCCTGTCCATCAGTGTAAGATGCCACAGAGTCACTGCTTATCTTCTCTGTGCTGTACTGCCTTCCCTGTGACCTACCTATATTGTAATTGCAAATTACAGTCCCCCTCAATCCCCTTCTCCCTCCCTCCCCACCCACTCTCCTCACTCCCTCCCCTTTGGTAACTGCTAGTCCCTTCTTGGAGTCTGTGAGCCTGCTACCTTTTTGTTCCTTCAGTTTTGCTTTATTGTTATGCTCCACATATGAGTGAAATGATTTGGTACTTGTCTTTTTCCACCTGGCTTATTTCACTGAGTATAATTCCCTCTAGCTCCATCCATGTTGTTGCAAATGGTAGGATTCATTTTCTTTTTATGGCTGAATAATATTTCACTGTGTATATGTACCACATCTTTATCCATTCATCTACTGATGAACAGTTAGGTTGCTTCCATATCTTGGCTATTGTAAATAGTCTCATTGCGGATTTATAATATAATTATGCCTTCCTCACAGGGTTGTGGGGGGGATTAAGTCTACATGTGAAACACTTAAAAAACCATGGCACACGGTTAACCATGTTAATTAAGCCCAATAAATGATAACCATATTAGTTATATTTCTATGACCCCAGCATATCATGCTTTCTCTCTAGGTCTCTGTTTGCTCATCTATAAAACGAGGGGGGTGTAAACTAGGCCCACAGGGGTGTCTTAGGGAGCTCTGTTCCTGTTCCCTGACCCCAGCTTCAGTTGTAGCAGCTCTGTTTCTATTTGACATCCTGTCCTTCAGTCAAGATACCATGTGAAAGAGTTGTGCAGCTCAAAACACACAAACAAGTGAACCAACATTACAGAAATGCTCAGAGTTATGATGGCACTGAAATTCAAGAGTTTCATTGTTTCCCCTGATTTTTGCCACTGGTAATTGGTTGGCATCCTGGATACACTTTTTCACCAAGAGTCAGCCTGCCATTTTTTTATATTGAGGCTTTTCATGCCATCTCCCCAAGCTATTGGTCAGGGCGTTTCCCTCAGGAGGATGCACGGGTGGTATAGGTCTGAGGCCAGCTGATATAAACATCCCCTTTGAGGTTCTCCTACTTGTCTTAGAGAAATGGAGCAAAGTATGAGACACATCCTGGAGTGACTTAATAGTTATCGAGTTTGGGTAAGTCTCTTAAATTCTTCGAACCTCAGTTTTCCTGTCTGTGAACTGGATCTGATAGTGGTCTCCTTTACAGGAGGCTTTTGTGAGGTCAGCAGATAATTCGTCTCATGGATTTAGCAGAGGGCCTGGCTGCCGAGGAGTCAGCCTCGGTAGTTGCAGGTTGTTTTGCTGTCAGCTAAAAAGGACTGCTCCCACACACCTTCTCCGGACGCCCCTGGAGCAGGACTCCGGTCTTGTTGCTTTGGCTGCTTCTGCCGTCATGTCTTTTTCAGTGGGAATAAACAGAAAGGACCAACAGCCCTCAGGGGTAAGGGAGGCGGGAAAGGAGAAGGCTCTTGATAGCGCAAGCCCTGCCCAGCTGCCCAGCTCGTTTGCTGCTGTCTGACACAATGAAGCGTGTTACCTTGGACACCGCCAGGCATGCTGCATTCCCACACATGGACCCTGCTGTCACCTCTGTTCTCCCAATGTGTTTCATTTGCTAGCATAAATCTGCTGATTGCACATGGTGAGAAGGTGCTTTCTAGTCAATTGCTGTCATCTCCGACTTCCTGAGCACTTGGAGGTTCTTGCCACTGTTTAATAAACTACAGCTGCTCACTTGGGATTACAGAGCAAGTAATGTCAAAGTGTATTGGTCTAAAAGCTTCTAGCACTGCCCCCTTATCCTCAACACCTCCCTGAAGAAACTTGGCAGAGTTAACACCCTTAAACAGAGGGTGTGGGTGAGGCACATTTGCTTGTATTGATTGCTGGTATTTTTAACTTCCCTTTCAACCTTTTTGGCAAATATGAATTATCAGTATAATAATAGGAGATCAAGGGTGAATACCAACAATAGTAAATAGTGCTTCACATTTGAACTTTAAAAGCTTGTGAGGCATTTTGAACTGGCTGATAAAGAAAAATATTAGAACAATAAGCCATAGTCTAGGTTTAGCAAATTTCCACATTATGCTGATTTAGCTTCAGAACTGCCTTACTGCTTTCTTATTTTTGGGAAAAACAAAACATTGCAGATACAATTAGGGTCTCTTGGGAGTTCTTCCCAATCTTATTCATCTCTCCCTTCCCAAAGTTCCTCAATTTCATGAATTCAGTGGTTTTGTGGTTTTATTACATATTAGTGTACTTGATAATCATTGAAAAGAATTCATTTTGAAGATTTTTAAACTTAAACAAAATGATATTATCATGCAACTTGCTTTTTGTTTTTTGGTTTTTTTGGCTCAACAATATGATCTGTGATACATTCATCCATCCATCTATACATCCATCCATCCAGTAGCTGTAGTTCTAATCTGAGATTTGTCCCAACAAGAACAATGTGGTTTTATATCATAAAAACTGCTAGTGGTATGCTTATCTGGTCAAAGAAGGAAAAAAATGTGGGGGTGGAGAAATAAAGCCTACAGGGGAACACCTCTGCTTAGTTTTCTCCTTAAGGTTGGGGTGGTAATGGGTGTGTTAGGAGCAAGGAGAGACGGTGAGAGGAGAAAGGGGAGTGACTTCTCATTTCCAGCAAATTTTTTTGAGCAAGGTGCTACCCCAATCAGAGACCTGAGACCTCAGTTGTATCGGTGGGTGGGTCAATGTAGGGAGACAGCAATGTCTACATTCAGTGATCTGCATGGCCTCTGATTCTGTTACTAGCTGGGCTGTGTGACTTTGGTAAAATCACTACTCCTCTCTGGGCCTTAGTTTCTCAACAGTAAAATTAAGAGTGGAACTAAATAATCTCTTAAATCCTTCTATCTTTCATTTTTCTGTAATTATTGTGTCTTTATTTTTATCCTTAATATTCAATATATTGAGATGCTTTCTCTTTTCTTAATTTAAAATTCGGCATCATTCATTCTATTCCCTCACTTCTCATTGGAGGTTCTTGCCACTGTTTAATAAACTACAGCTGCTCACTTGGGATTACAGAGCAAGTAATGTCAAAGTGTATTGGTCTAAAAGCCTCTAGCACTGCCCCCTTATCCTCAGCACCTCCCTGAAGAAACTTGGCAGAGTTAACACCCTTAGACAGAGGGTGTGACCCTGACCAATAGTTTGGGGAGACCAATAGTTTGGCTATTGTAAATAGTCTCTGTCCTCATTGTCACAAGATCACAGTCCTCATCGTCACACGCACGTCCCTGGATTGCCATACAGCTTTTTAACTGTCCCCTCCCTCTTGTCCTTCCCCATCCCTGTCCTTCCTATGCCTATGCCACCCCAGGTAGAATTTCTGCTTTTATTATGCCGCACCCGTGCTCCAGAGTGCTTCACG